TCGGAACAAAATTCAAATGCGAGCATTCAAATTTCAAATTTGATTTGTTCAAATATTCACCATCTTGTATGGATATATTATTTGATAAATTTCATATCGACTAAATCGAAATATAAATTAACACGCAAGAACTTGAATTATTCCGCTTAAGAATATTGAATTTTTTTTTTTTTTAATTAAAGATTGTCTAGTTTGAAATTGGGTAGGGAGTGCATTGAAAATTGGAATAGACGTCAGAGGATTTGGAAGATAAAGATGCGTGGCATTATTCAATCAAAATGGGGTGGTATAAAGGATAATGCACATCAATAATCAACCAAAATAGTGGAAGTTTCCTTGTTTCTTGGCTCGTCCATCAAGGCAGTTGGATTGAAAGTCATCTTGTTGGTTTTTAGCCTTTCGAGGATATAATACTTTTTTCCATTTCTCCAACTACCCATTTTGAGAATTGCATCCAAAAGTTATTAATGGTATTATCAATATGCAAATATACTTGCAATTATTTTTGCAATGAGAGGAATGTGTGACGACACGATGGTCGCTTACCACTACGAGTACGTTGACAAATTCAAAAGGGAGAATATCATGCACTAAGAGGGGTTTTTTTTTTTTTTTTTCATACGGCACGATATAGTCGTCAAAGAATCAAAGATAGGCATATGACTTATCTTTCTATCTATAAAAAGTGTTTATTTAACGAAATTTGTTGGTTTAACGGAAAAACTAACGGAATTTGTTGTTTTAACGGATTATGTAGCGGAATTTCTTGTTTTAAACAGGCAGCTGCACCTTCTTTCAGTGTTTTTATCATAACTTTTTTTTTTTTTTTTTTTCATACGGCACGATAAAGTTGTCAAAAAATCAAAGATAGACATATGACTTGTATTATTGAAAAGTGCATTAATAATATTTTCATATACAGATATTGTCTAACATCCTACTAATAAGTATGCGTGTTTGTTGTTTGTTTTTGGGCTGTCGATTTAAGAAAAGGGAGAAGGCTGCCCAGAAACACAAAACCTCGAGGACCCAATTAACAATATTGGTAGTTGATATTAATATATGAAAATGATTGAGGATGTTAAATGTAATAAACATTGCACTGCGAATACAATTTTTTTGGCCGGTGTTACACAGGTGATCTACATGAATGGGCATTTTTCTCAAGTATATACGGGCCAGCCCATGATGAGCTCAAGTGAATTGATGCCCATGTACCCCCTTTACCATTTTCTCGGTCACATACAATGGATCTTTCAGCCCAAATGTACTCATCAACTGCAGCCGGCCCAATTACTACAACCTGGCCCAGATCTCAAATCCCAAAATGCTTTTAAGAGCATCTCCAATAAACTCTTTAAATATGAGATACTCTCTATTTTAAAGAGTCAACATTTAAAATCATGCTACAAGAGACTCTTTAAATTAACATTTTAATTTAGAGAGTGGATTTGACTCTCCAAATTTGGAAGACAATAAAATAATCTAAAAAAAGCAAGTTAAAATAAAATATAAAGAAAAATAATAAATATTTTTTGGGAGTAATAAAATTAAGTGTTAAATATAAAAAGTTTGTTGAAGTATTTTAAAATTTTAACTCTTTAAATTTATATATGTTCTCTAAATGATATAATATACTCTTTAAAAATTTAATAAATATTTTTTGGGAATAGTAAATTTAAGTGTTAAATATAAAGAGTTTGTTGGAGTACATCAAAATTTTAACTCTTTAAATTTATAGATGCTCTCCAAATGATAGAATATGCTCTTTAAAAATAGAGAGTCTCTTGGAGATACTCTAATGTAGGTAAATAATCAGGATAATTTCATCCGAGGTTACTGAACTTTCAAAAAAAAATTAATTGAATTACGAGACTTTAATCTATCTCAATCGGCTAAACTTCAATTTTCTTTCAAATCTCACTACTCTATCACGTTCCATTACCAATCATCCCCAAATTGATAAAAATGCTTAGTTCGGCCCATTGAGTCCACATGATTAAAGAACGAATTTGACCGGACTATATTATCATACTTTAATTAAAAATAATATTCACCACGATCTTCATGAGCATATAATTGACGGTATAACCACAAATAGCAAGCAAAAAAAGAAAACGCGATAAATGCAAGTCCAGTAAACATGTGTTGCGATTTTAAGGAAAATTACTATAAATACGATACTTCTTAGAATTGTTGTAGGTACTTCTAATAAACGAGCAATGGTACATACAAAAAATATATATATATATTACTTTTCAATTTTCTCAACTCATTTTAGCGTAAGTTGGTTTGCTATGCCTAAACTAATGCAACTTGAAAAGTAAGAAACAAAACTATGTGATAATGTATGAAAGCAAAGAATCAAATTCCTTTGAAAAAAGAGACGAATATATTTCTTTCCCCCCATTAATTCTAGTATTTAGTACAGTTTGATGCCCCCTAGACAGCTATGTCTTTGATTATTTCAAAGATTCTCTCTTCTCAAAAATTATTTTTTCTTAAAGCAAATTGAATATTTTTATTTATATAAGAATGGTTTATCCAGGAATTACAAAATAAAAAATAAAAAAAATCCAATACAGTTAAATTCATTTTAAATAGAAAAGAAATTTAACATCCGGAGTAATGTGTTAAAGGTAAAATATTACATCAATCAAATATGAAAATATTAATCAACGTATAAGTGTTATGAAACTCTAAGACTCAATATGGAATCTAAATCCAAAAGGCTCAAGCAAACTTTCAAATAAGTCATCATTTTACAAGAAACGTGATGCACAAAAACAAGAACAATTCATCTTTTTATTTACTGTTTAATTAAATACGATTTGTAAGTCTTATGAAAGTTATTTGATTTTGATTATAATAAAATTCGTGAGAAGTTTCTCTCAAATATTGTCTCTTTCTTAGCATTCGTAAGTGAATCAACAAGTTTGAGTTTTTCATGATATTTTATTCTTTCCCATAAACTTCTGTTACGTCAAAATGTTAAGAGACAAATCATACATTGCATTAAGATTAACTCCAAACTCGATTATGTCCATGTTTGGCCCCATTTTCTAACACTCACTTTCGTCACACATTTTATAGAATTCAGAGATTTTATCAACTTTTTAATTATACATTTTATCTATATTTATCAAAATCTACTACAAATCTGTTTTTCAGCTAAATCAAACTAAGAATAGGTCTTAGAGCTTGACAAGTTCAAACGAGTAATTGGGTGGAGAGCATTAAAGCTCAAACGAGCAATTGGAGTTGTTCGAATTTATATCAATGAAATTGGAAAATAAATCTTGTTCTTAAAATTTATTGTTGATAAATTGGTATTTATTTCTTTAATTGTATTTGTTGAACAAACATGAGTTTAATTATCATTGGTCGTGTCATGTGATTTCATGAATATATATCATAATACACATGAACAATGAGGTGGCTGCAAAAGGTGGTGTTAGGTACCCATTATTCAATTGAAAACAACACTGATATTGTTAGGGCAAGAGAGTAGGTAACCTGATCTACTTTATTTTCAATAATTATGTCAGCCTGGACATAATTTTAACGTGGAACAGCAATTTCTTCGTCCATTATTGTTGTCATATTTGCATATGGTCAATTTTTATTATTTGTTGTCTTTTTGAAATCTAATCAAAAGGATAAATTAATGAGATGATTCGAATGAGTTGTAATGTACTTGTAGAATATGAGCGATGAAGAGAGGATAACCAAGGCTTCTGCTTTTACTTGTGCTTTTTGTAGAAGAGATTATGCGGAAGTTACCTTAGGGCCCCCGTTTGATTGAGTTTTGCTTTTGTTTTTTTGTCGAAGATATTCTTTAGGAAGCTACCTTAAACATTCTTCTAAAAGTTACAAACACTTTTAAAAAAAATATTTAAATATTTTCTAAAAATAACTTCTTAATTTTAGAAACAACTTTTGGCTTCTCAAACGAGCTCTTAGGCTAGCTATCTTTAAAAGCTCTTCTAATTCGACAAAACACTTACAGAAAATTGTCCAAATAAATTCAAAAGAAATTTCTTAATCTTAAAAATATTTTTTTACTTTTCAAAAATCTTGCGAAATGATCCCTAAGAGAGTGTTTGGTGGGAATTAAAATTAGATTTTTAGTGGATTGTGATATAAGTTTTTGAAATGTGTGGTTGAAAAGCTGTAGGACTCATGCAAGATGTGGTTAATATTGATTGTTTGACTTTGATTTAAATTAAAATCCGATTTTAATTTGACCCAATCAGACCCTAAAAGAGTTGCTCAAATATATAAAAGATCCCGTCTATCCTATGTACCCTATATGTTAAAAATATTTAATATTGATAATAATTATCTCATGGCCATTTTATATTACAGTTGTTCGTGAAGGTTGTAATCATTGTAGAAATTTTCAGTAATACTTGATTCTATAGACAATTTCTATACGTTAAAAAAGGTCTTCCGCCACAAATTTTAGCTACACATTGTGAAACTACAAATTTGACCTAGTGACAGTATCATGTCAAGATAACTTCAAAATATATAATTGTTGCAGGCAACTATTTAAGAACTTACCCTCCAATCAATGAAAAGTAACGTGATAATTTAACCTCTCGTAATATGCTTTTTTGGGAGAATTTGAATTTAAATTTAGTCAAAGGGTCCTACTGAACGTGTGAATAAAAAGTTGACAGTGATTGTGAATCTTACGAAAAGTGTGAATAAAAACTCTGTTCGACCGAAAGTGATTATAAATTAAATTATTATTTATTATATACAGCTGGTCCACACACATGAATAAGATTAGGATATAAGAATAACAACTCATTTCAAAAATTAAAATAATGAAAACCATAACTAACCATTAAGTCTCAAATAAGCACATATGCTAGTTAGATAGCGAAAAGGTGTATACCTATAAATGCCCGCATGTTGTATTGGTACATGGCAGACAAAAGGAAGAAATAGAAGAGAGTGATTTTTTTCTGTAGAGATTTTAGGACAGAAAAATGGGTGGATTGAGACATTCTAGGATTTTATTGTTAGTTATGGCAGTTGTACTAGGTTCTGCTCATGCTGATTTGGAGATGAATTTCTATGCCAAGTCATGTCCAAAAGCTGAGAAAACTGTACAAGATTATGTCAACAAACACATCCCAAATGCTCCATCTCTTGCTGCTGCCTTCATAAGGATGCATTTCCACGACTGCTTTGTCCGGGTAATGCATTCGCCTTCTCTCGAAATTTTGCTTTTAACGATGAAAACTTTTAGACCCATGTTTTGAAATTGTGATACTTCAACAGGGGTGCGATGCATCTGTTCTTCTGAACTTCACATCAAGCACAGGAAACCAAACTGAGAAAGTTTCTATCCCAAATCAAACATTGAGAGGCTTTGACTTCATTGATAGAGTGAAGAGTCTGCTGGAATCTGAATGCCCTGGTGTTGTTTCTTGTGCAGATATCATCAGTTTGACGGCCAGAGACGCCGTCGTGGCTACCGTAAGTTAAAAAACCAAGTCATATTTGATAAGCAGTGTCACATAATACTAAACAACATAGGAGATCTCGAGTCTTTTTGATTTCGTAATCACGTTCAGTATTGCATGTGTTGGCTAAACTTAAAAATTTAACTTATAAGTAAATTATTCAATACCTCATACCTCACCGTCAAAACTTCTTTTGAACAGGGTGGTCCATTTTGGAGGGTACCAACTGGACGTAGAGATGGGGTGATATCAAATGCCTCAGAAGCCTTGGCGCAAGTCCCATCTCCATTTAGTAACTTCGCCACTCTCCAAACACGTTTCGCTAATAAGGGTCTTGATCTAAAAGACCTCGTTGTGTTGTCAGGTAACACTATTCATTTACGAAAACTATACGTGCTGAATAGTACAAACTTATAGAGATAAACAATTATCGTTGACTACATTATTTAAAACTTTTCCTTGAATTATTTTAGGTGCTCATACAATTGGTATTTCTCATTGTTCGTCATTTACAACTCGACTGTACAATTTCACGGGTGTGGGTGATCAAGATCCGTCTCTTGATAGTGAATACGCAGCGAACCTGAAAGCTAACAAATGCAAGTCAATTAATGCGACTACAAAGGTTGAGATGGATCCCGGGAGTTTCAGAACATTTGATCTTAGTTACTACAAACTCGTCTTAAAGAGAAGGGGTCTCTTCGAATCAGATTCAGCCTTACTAACAAACTCGACAACTCGGTCGTTTATTACACAACTTGTTGAAGGGTCCCTTGGGAATTTCTTCGCTGAATTTGCCAAATCAATGGAGAAAATGAATCGTATTGATGTTAAGACTGGACCTAGTGGTGAAATTCGAAAGCAATGTGCTTTTGTGAATAGTTAATTGTGTCTTGCTGTTTTTGTAAGTTTTCTCTTTGTTGCTTTTTCTTTTTTTGCTTGTGGGAATAATTGAATAAATCATTGTTAATTATTGTAACCCTCCGAATTTTTTATTTTTCAATATTTATTGTTATGGAAAAGAGTTTGCAAAAATACGAAAACTGTGCCGTGTGCACTTGTGCTACGCCAATTTATTCTTTGTCTTGTTCCTATTTCCTTTCGACACTTTGTTTTCTCATCAATTATTGTCTTTCCCTGGAATAGGCATCTATCTCTTTATTACTCAATTTTTTTTTTTACATTAAAGCAAAATAAAATATTAATTTGAGTCAAACTCCAACACCTTTTAAGTAAATTTTTCTATTAAAAAATATAATTTACTTTTCCTTACATTTAAATAAAAAAGAAAACTGTTTTAAGAGCAACTCATACATTACTATCAAAAATGAGTAATTTATTTATTTCTAATTTTTGAATTGTAAAAAATTCTTTATTTTGATACAAATTTCTAAATAATATATTTTTTAATCAAGTTAAAAAATGCTCCAGGAATAAATTTTGAGAAAATTATCATGGTGTTGCTCCTTTTGGCCCATAAATCAAAGGAGAGTGCTTGTTCTCCTTAGAACCAGATATTGGGCCAGAAAGCTGGCCCAAAAAAGCACAATTGAAAATCTTGGGAGGAAATTACACTAAATCAGGTGTTTAGTTTAATATTTATGAAAATCAGGTTTATACTTTATTTAATCAAAAATCAGGTTTTAATTTCACAATTAATACTAATAATGATATTTTAAATTAAATTAATATATATACTCACCCCTAC